TATACTAGTGAAAGCTCAGGGGAAAATATTTATAATGGAAATATTAGATATATAGTAAACATATACAAAGAGCTTTTAGAAATTGGTAGCAAAAAGACTTAATAAAGCAATTGCAAATGGCAAAAGAATATAGACAATTCACAGAAGAGCAAATCCAAACAGCCAATTTGAAAAGATTCTCAAACTCACTAACAGTATGGAAAAGAAAGTCAGGTAAAAATGAAATGCTACTTGTGTCAGATTAAAAAAACTTTTAAAAGATTGAAACACTTAAATTTCTGGTAGTAATATGAATCGTTTTAGCCTTTTAAAAATGCAATTTGCCATTATGTTGAAAAAATTACACTTATTTAATTCAATACTGCTTCTGCAAATTTAGACCAGTGGTGGAAAAACTTTTTCTATAAAAGGCCAGATAGTAAATTTCTTCAGCTTTGCAGACCATATGGTTTTTGTTGCAACTACTCAATTCTGCATGATATCACGGACTGCAGAATTGGGAAGGCATGTGTAGTAACATGCTATTGATATGGTATATATAGTCTAACGTCTACATAGGTGAAACTAAATTCAAGTGCATATATAATAGTATAATATAGTAAAATAATTAGGAATTGATGAGTTTTGAGTATTTATTGCCTTTGTTTTTAATGATTATTTAGTTGTAAGTTTACAAAATTTAATTTTCAATAATGAATGTTGCACAACCAGCTCCCATAATTCCCGAAAATTTAACCATGGGACTCTCTCAGCTAGCTGGTACTAGCTGGCTCCAGCAGACCACTGGCTATATCTAAGTATAAGGATGTTTTTGCAGTATTGTTTATGATGGCAAGAACAGGAAACAAATTATATACCCACTGATGGGGGAATAGTTGAATAAGTTGTACTGTATCTATACCATGGAATATAAAGCAGCTATTAGAACCATTGCCTTGGAGTGATTTCCACGTATGTTGTTAAATGAGAGGAGGAAGATGCAAGGATGGCTCTAGGTCATGATCCCATTTTTATAAAACAGGCAATTATAGACTCTCCCCTCATTTATGCATATGAGAAAATCAGAATTCTGTAGGCCTAAGGATTTAGATTTATAATAAAATTCTCTACCTTGTAAATGAATAAACTTGAGTCAGTGTTTATAGTTTTTTTTTATTTGTTTGTTTGTTTGTTTTCTGAGACAGGGTCTCTTGTTCTGGTTGCCCAGGCTGGAGTGGTGAAGTGGCATAATCGTAGCTCACTGCAGCCTTGAACTTCTGGGCTCAAGCCATCCTCCCACTTAAGCCTCCCGAATAGTTGGGACTACAGGTACCTGCCACCATGCTTGGCTACTTTTTTTAAAAATTTTTTGTAGAGATGGGGGTCTAGCTTTGCACAGGCTGGTCTTGAACTCCCAGCCTCAAACGATGCTTTCTGCCTCGGCCTCCCAAAGTGCTGGGATTACAGACATGAGCCACCACACCTTGGCTTGACTCAGTTTTTAAATAAAATTTATCCTGTTAGTGGTATACTGTCTTCACATTCTAAAACTTTTAATGTGTATCACTTCAAAAAAAATTTAGTATGTAGTATCTCATTTCTTAAGACATGTACATTTTCCTATGTTTACAACTCTGAGCATTAAGTATGTTTATGTTTATAATTTCATGCTCTTCTGGATTTTAATTACTGCCTTCATGTTTATATGGACACTCATTACTTGAAATTGCTATTATTTTCAGAGATTGCAATACAGATATTCCCTGTTCTTTGAGCCCCACAGGAGGATGGAATTTTCCTGTCCTTTGTATTCTAAGATACTCCACCACTCTCTTCTTTGTATCTTTCTTATTCAAAACCTTATCTTGCCTTTCATACCTAAACTTTCAGCTTTGGTATGCTGCTAGGTGTATGGTCCAGAGTCTTACGCATACACTTTACACGTTAATTGAGAGAATAAACAATGGTATTTATCTTAGTCTATTACTATGTATGGAGAAATGATAAAGCTGCTTTAGGGATCGTCAGAGTCTTGATGAGTAACATTTTTGTTATGTATTAAAGAGCTTTGAATCAGATACGGAAAAGTCATTTTCCAAAATAATAGACTATTGCTGTTGTAGTGGTTTGCTGATCAGTTTTCCACCTGGAATTTCCTCTTTAAAAATCTTTTTTATTCTTTTAATGGTTACTATTTTAATGACTAATGTTATTTGTGATTTCTTAAGAGCTATTGCGTAATACTCAACAGACTTCTTGGTTTTTGTAGTGCAGAATTCAGAAAGTATATACATCTGTTAAGTTTACACTCTTTCTTAATATTGTTTTGGGTTCAGGGAAATATCTTAGGAAACTGCTTTAATCTTCTTGTTAGTAAATAGCCCCTTCCTACTTTTTGATAAAACTGTAACATTCCTCTTCAAGTAAAAACTTCTACCCCTTATTATTTTGTATTGCTCTTTGGCAGGATATGCCTTGACAGCGTGTCCTGGAGTGAAGATTGTATTTTTCTAGTGTGAAGGAAATTAGCTGGTAAAAAAATCAGATTGACATGTTTAAATTCATTTTACAAACTTGATAGCTGCTAAGTTTTATTTTACTTTGTGATGCCTGGATATAAACATAATTCAAATAGGGAAAGCATAAAAAAGAAAAATTTATATTTTAAAAATTCATTTCAATTTGAACTCTGTTTCTTAGATTTTTCTGTTTTGCATTTTTTTAAATTTTCTTTGAGAATTCGTGTCCCATTAATTGCCTTCTCTTCCACATTTTTATTTGTAATGATGCTTTTCAGATGTCTAATTTTTGTTTAAAATGTTACCATTGATTACTTTTCCTTTTACTTCAGATTTATGATACCATTCACCATAAATTATGTGGAACGTACTTGTTTAATTTTTTACAGTTACTTTAGAAGCAATATAATGGTGATCACTAAAATGTTAACATTTATCTAAATAAGCTATTCTTAACTTTCCATGGGTTTTCTTGGAAGACACAGGAAGGTATAAAAAATATTGACTCTTACTGAATTAAATGATTTTACTTTTTTGCTTTTCTGCTATGCTTTGAACATCTTCTTCTCTTTTATCTTTTATTGAATAAGATATTTATTTTCTTGAAGTCTGATTTCCCTTTTATTTGTTGTTGCTTCTAATAAAACTCCATTGGTGATTTTTTTGAGAAAAATTAGATGATAGAATCATTTGTTTATATTTAGTCTTAAATGTAACAGCACTTTTAAAGATAAATATTTTAAAATATAAAACCATGATATATTATTAAAATACTCTTTCAAAATCAATTCACCTACCAGTATGATACAGGTTGATTTCAGTTTTACGTATTCTACCTTTATCCGTATGCACATGTATTACTTACCTAATTTTAATGGATGTATATAATCAACTTTTGATGATTTTATTTTTTGCGTATAAAGCAAAATACTAGCTCTTCTAATAGAGACCTAAATAAAAACAGAAATATCACTTTCCACCCCAGCAAAGGTGTCCCCTTTAATCTTTGTATATACATACACACAATTTGTAAGTTGCGATCATTTGTATAACGTGTCGTTTTATTTTCTTTCTTAGTGGATGAGCTTCACTGGAATTGTGCAGACTCCCAGAGCTTAGTAACTTATGTACCAGCAGTGGCCATATTTTTCCTTCCCAACTGCCAGGCTACCCATGTACTTATACCTGCCCAGACCTAATTGAATGCAGGAAAGCAAAGGGCATGGCTGGGAAGAGGACGCAGGGAGTCCTGATGTCTCCTGTCTGTTGATAGGTCTCTTTGTTCTTCACTGTGGAGCCATTCCAGTGGATGCCATTGTGAAGACTCCTTTTTAGAAAATCTCTTCATTTAGAGCAGGTTATTTCCTATAATCTGTTTTTATCCACCGATCCTCTCTATTTCCAATGGAAGGCAATGGGACAGTAGCCTAACTGTATAGGTCCTTTCTTTACTTCATAATGTTTAGTATCTGCTTAAACATAAAGGGCTTTCCAATAACCTGACTTTAAACTAGCATTACAGACATAGCAATTTTGTGAGCATGAATGCTTTAATTTTCTTTAAAAACAGCATCTTAATGCGTCCAACATGACTTCCCCCCATAAGTAAATTATAGGTTTGTTTTTGTGCTATGTTGTTAGGCAATATGGTGTGCATTACCTGAATCCAGAGGTGGTTTAACTGTGACCTTGAGATGTTTGTCATTTCTGAGTGCTTTTAACAAGAATGAGAGACAGTACTTAGTCGAATGGCTGAAGGTTCAGATATCTTTCTTTCAATCAGCAGTTGAGAAAGTGCACTAGTCAAGTGAACAATTTTCTGTATCCATTTTGTGGCAAATTATCATGATTATTGTGTGTTCTATAGCCTTTGAGCAATGTCTTCCGCTAACACCTTGGAGTAGTTTTCATGGCTGAGAAGTAGAAATGATCTCTGCTGATAGTCCAGACAGTAAAAGTATTAACTACCTAAAAGAAAGTAGAGGCTTAAGAATTTCAGCATGAAACCCAGCTAGATGTTTGTAGAATGGACAGCTTTGGAATATGCGAGCATTATCTTCTTTACTTGAGGTTTTTGGGGTATTATTGTTTGAAAGAAAATTGCCTGATGAAGCATCAGCATAAGGAATAAGGTTTGGATTTCAGGGAACATAATTAGATATATTTCTTAATAATTAGAAATTACTGAGCTGGTGACTACTACATGACTATTGGCGATAGTTGAGTTGTTCGGACCAGGATACACATGACTGAGTTGAACTGAGTGGCCGGGGTAAGGGTGGGGATATTCCAGCACATGCAGAGGTCTTCTATGCTTATTGTCAAGGGTGCTTTCTTCTCACTCCTTCCCTCTGCGAAAGTTTTTCCAGTAATGAAGTATGGTAGTTCACATATAAAAATGAAAATTGGATTGTTAAGTAGTGTTCTTCATTTGTTTAGAATTTTTCTTTTTTTATCTGGGTAAAAATGACTGAATTTGATAGGTTTTCTTTTTTCTTTTAGGCTCAATTTATGAACCTCTTAAAAGCATTAATCTTCCAAGACCTGATAATGAAACTCTGTGGGATAAATTGGATCATTATTACAGAATTGGTAAGCAAAATCTGAGGAAAACGAGTCCTTAGGTAGCTATGATTACTATTTACTCTGCCCTAGTTATATTGTGTACATTACATAGATGATATTGTTTTATCATTTGGATGTTGGTGGTTTCAGCACTTAGGCAGCTACATATTCCAATCACACATAATACTAGGACTATAAAAGGAATCTGGCAGGTCATATCTGGCCCTTGAATAATTTTAAAATGTCACCATTATCTTCTCTGTGCATGTGTGTATTTTTTAAATTTTTATTTTTTTTGAGACAATGTCTCACTCTGTCACCCAGGCTAGAGAGCAGTGGCAGGATCATAGCTCACTGTAACCTCAAACTCCTGGGCTCAGGTGATCCTCCTGCCCAGCCTTCCAAATAGCTAGGATTACAGGCACACGCCACTACACCCAGCTATTTTTTTATTTTTTGTAGAGACAGGGTCTCACTCTAGTGCCCAGCTTGGTCTTGAACTCCTGGCATCAAGCGATCTTCTTGCCTTGGCCTCTCAAAGTGCTGGGATTACAGGCATGAACCACCACACCTGGCCACTTCTGTGTTTTTTGAACCTTCCTAAACATTACCAGCTTTGAAATTTTGAGGATGTTTTTTGATTAATACACAGGTATTTCACGTAAGTATTAACTTGCTCGTTTAACTGTATACGGTTCCCAGGTAGTGCTGGACCTTTTGTGTCTGTTTCTAATTCATTGAGCTGCAAGAAGTAATCTCAGGTTATCATTATTGTTATCATGTCCCTGACTTTTTGTTTGTTTTGTGTTTCCAGGCTCAGCCTGGCAAATTTTGTTTTACAATGTGAGTAAGCAACTTCGAGATGTCTGTGTATGGGACTCCTCTTTGTTCATCAGAATGAATATTGGAATGCTTATTAATTTTTTTTTCCTGTGCCATTTGCTTATCCTAGGGTGGCAAATCCCATAAAATCTGATTTGTCTCTCCCTAAGATATGGATTTTTTGTCTATTGCAACTTCATGTAAAACTTCAACTTATTTTGGTTAATATTCTAGCATACGTTCTTATGTTGCCCTTTTTATTATCTTTGTAGCAATAATTAAAGAGAACTAACTACATTTTTAAAAGAAATGTCAATTGCTTATTTTGGACGATGAAGACCAATTTTTTATACTGGGAATAATAAATAGCCTGGTATTCTGAAAGAAATGATCATGGTAAGATCATTTTAGTCTGAGAAAAAGAAATAGAAATCTTAATTCTTTAATCTCTGTGAAGGACCAGAGTGTTTTATACTTTTGAAAAACTCTTCTAAAAAGTAGTCAACATATGCCAATCTAGATTAGATTAATTTAATGTATTTTGTGAAAAAGCATTACTCATCCATTTATAGTTAGACAGGAATAAAATAGCTTTTAGGAAATGTAGTTTTAGTGTGTTCGTTTACCTATTTTAGGACTCTTTCATAGATAATGATGTAATAAAAAAGAAGATAATAAAACAATATTTGACTTTTATGAAGTAAAATGTTCACAATTTACTTGCTATTGTTTTTGTGTTATATGAAGATGGGGTTCAGTTTGAAATCTTAAACATATCCCTAACATGTACAATATTATAAGTAAAATGAATACTGTACATTCCTCTGAAAACCAGGCACAAATTAGTCATCAGTGAAATGCAGGATTTTGGCCTGTTCTATGATCTATCCTCATCCTTTCTAAGCTGTTGATAATTTACTTTACTTGTAGCAGTTGAGTTGACTTTGTGATTTAGCAACTGTACTCTTTGTTGTACATTTGCTTTAAGTTTCCCTATTGAACTCATTTTTTAAAATTATTATGCTCAGCTTTTTGGTTGATCCTTTTTTCCCCCATACCTGATGTTGTCCTACTAAGACCTATGACATGTATTGACATTAACTAGGAGGTGCTAATGTCTTTTTAAGTCCTAATTAGCTTAGTCCCTTCCTGAAAACTGGAAAAAACACTTCCTACAGGGATGGATTTCCACTTAGGCTAGCATGACATGAAGTTATTTCCCTGTCTTGAAAAGTTTATTACTATAGCTAAGTTCAGAAACATTATTGTCAGAAGGGGGGTGAGGAAACCAAAGACTATTGAGACATTCTGCCCAAGGCAGGCGGCTGGCTGTGTGATTGCTCTCTGTCTCGTCTTCATTTGCAGCCAAGTCAACATTGCTCCTGTACCAAAGCCCAACCACAGGTCTGTTTCCCACTAAAACATGCGGCGGGGATCAGAAGGCCAAGATCCAGGACAGCTTATACTGCGCTGCTGGGGCCTGGGCTTTGGCTCTTGCATACAGGTGAGCTGGTGTGTGTTCTCCTGGTTCACCCCAAGTCTAGGTCATAGGGTTTTGGGGGACCAAGACAAACTGAGAAGCTATCTTTCAGCTCTGCTGCTGACTTACTGTGTGACCTGTGACTGCTCATATCCCTTTTTAGGCCTCTAAACCTTTTCATTTTCTAAGGATTACATGAGAACAGTTCTAACATTTTATGACTTTGTTACCAAAATTTTTTGTCTCTAAGTTTCTAAATCAGCGTTAATTTTTGATAGAGTTAACTACCTACCCATTCTCATTGAGTTGATTGGTTTCAATCATAGAGGGTTTTGATGGTGATTGAATTTTGCTGATGAAAAAATTAAAGTCCAGAGTACTTAACAGATTTGTTCAAAATTATACAACTAGTAAACGACAGAGCCAGGGCCAGGACTCCTTTTTTTTTTTTCCAGTTCATTGGTTTTCCCATTGTTCTTCGTTGAGGTATCGGTTATTAAATTTGGTTGTAAGTCAAATAATTATTTTATAAAGTAAAAAAAAATTTTTTTCACAATACAAAATTTCTCTTTACTTAATTTATTTCATTATACATAGAAAGTACCCAATGTGAATCCTGACGCATAGTTAGTAGTAACACATTTTAACCATATTTAAAATTTTTAAGATTTAGTTTTTGAATATTAACTTTCTGAAAGTGACCTGTGTGTGTATTTCTGATTTAAAAATTGTGTCTTCCATGTGAACATGATTCGTCTGTTTTAATTCACTGATGTGTTGAATTTTAAAATGAAAATCAAATACTGAGATAATATGAAGTGGTCATCTTTAGCACACTTGAGTGATAATGTCACTAAAAGCATTTCCTTATTTACATATTCTATGTAAGTCCAATATAGCTTTATTAAATGTCAAACTGCTACTGATTTTAGGAGTATAGTTAACATCGATAACACCTTAACCAACTGGTTAAGCCAGTTATGGACAGACTGACGTTAGTTGCCCCTCCTGATTTGACATAATGGGAAGTACACCTCACCTGTGCTGACGTTTTGCCAAAATATCTAACTTGAGTCTACACATGAATAAACAATTAGACAAAGCTACATTATGGCTTATTATAAGACAACTTGCCTGGACTCTAAAAATGTAGGTATCATAGAAGATTAGAAATTAAGTATGGAAATGGCTAGATAAGAGAGACTAAAAAAATGTGACAGCCAGATGCAATACATAATTCTTAATTGGATCATGCATTAAAAAACACTATAAAGTACATTTTGAGGATAATTTGATAAATTTGAGTCTAGACCATATATTAGATAATATAGTACCAGTATTAAATTCTGTAGGTGTAATAATGATATTATGGTTATATAGGAGAATCTCCTTGTTTTTTAGAGATATTTCTGAAATGTGTAGCGGTAAAGGGTCATGATGTTTGTAGCTTACTTTTATTGATTGATTGATGTTGCTCCATGAATTAATATAAATGTGTTTGCAGACAGGATTTGTCCCGGGAGTTTTGCAGAGCTTTTCCCTGAAGGAATATGTGAACGTGTTTAGTTTGCATTTCAAACGCTGTTGTACTCGGGAGGGCGTCTCTGAAAGACAGTAGCGGCTGTATCCCACAAGGCGCTGCGTTTCTCAGACCTAAAGGTTTGGATTTGCTTTGTAAAGCAAAGCGAATCTGTTAAAAACTACAGGATGAGAGCTGATGAACGAGTGCCCGCCCCGAACAGACAGCCACCCTGGCTATAAGCAGTTAAGGGGCAGTTCCTGCTTAAAACTCCAGACTACCTGTCTCCATTCACAATAACCTGATAAAGAAAATATGGAGCCAATATATCTCTGTTTAACCCCTCTGTTAAGTGATAAATTTACCTTAGAACTTAGAAGTTAATCTTTGAAAGATTTTTATAACCATTTGTTCACATAGATAGAATTAGTTAAGGGATCTGTAGAAGCCTTTTGAAAATCTGTTAACCTAAGAGGAACTACCTGCTGTTATGTAAATCTGTTACCTCTGACAACTAGTCACTGTTCCCTATAAGTGACCATGTAAGATTTCATTCGGTGCCTTTTTTTTGAGATAGATGGAGAATCCGAGGCCCCCTGAGCTCCTGCTTTGCCTATAATCTTTATAAATTTATAAAACTATACCTTTGTCTCTGTGTATTCTTTTATTTCCATTATTTTCCATTTTTCTATTATTTTCTTATCCCTTGCAACTCTACCAAAGAGACCCAGTTTTTTGTGGGGAGATTGATTGATTGAGACAGAGTCTTACTCTGTTGCCCAGGCTAGAGTGCCCTGGCGTCAGCCTAGCTCATAGTAACCTCAAACTCCTGGGCTCAAGCAATCCTACTGCCTCGGCCTCCCAGTGTGCTAGGATTACAGGCGTGAGCCACCTCGCCTGGCCTGTAGCTTACTTTTAAACAGTGAAGAAAAAACTTAGAGAGTGCAAGCTAATGTTAACAATCGGTGAATCTAGGTGAAGAGTAAAAGGTTTATTCATTGTAGCATCTTTTTAGCTTTTTTGTAGATTTGAAATTTTTCTAAATAAAATGATGATGTAAATTTGCTTTAACAAATACAGGTGTACTGGTGGCAAGCATATGAGCAAAAGTCAGACATTAACCTTTTCCCAAAAGGCTGCAAACATCTGATAGAGACTTTACAGTCCTTACTTTACTGGGCACACTATCTATGTAGAATTTGCCTCCGTTAAGACGCTTCTGACTTCAGGGGGGGAAATACTGATGTATAGATCAAATTTATGCTAGTATTACTGCAATGCCTGCATGAGAAAGAAGGAATGATGTGCTAATGATGAATAACTTATTTTTTGCATTAACCATTTTGTGTCAAAATCATAATCATTCTTTCCAGTAGTGAGTGTTGTATGAGATCTATGATTAAAGCAGGAGGTAATTGTAGTAGTATACTTTTTAAGGAGACAGGTGATAGTTTCTGTCAAGTGAGAATAATTGCCAGATATTTTAGTTAAGATTAAGTGAAACAATGAATAAGTCACTTTTATTTTTCAGTAGTAAGTAACTCTCATCCATCTTTTGAAAGTTACTGAACTGTAATAAAGAGCAACTTATGGACAGAAAGAACATCTTAACCTAGTTTAATAGTTAGATTTTAGCTGTTCTTTATTTTTAAAAGCGATGTAAACTGTGATCAACTGATTTCAAATGAAGGCCTGAGAATATAAACTTTTATGCCAAAATACATCATGTACCATCCTGGATGTGTGTTTAATTGAAGGCATCCTTGACTGTGACTACAGTGCTGGCCCCTGCTGTGTTAAACATATGGTAGAGCAAAGAAGACAGGTGTCTGCCTTAACCTGTGGTTCCCCAAATCCAAGTGACTGTTGCATAATCTAAGGAGATAGGCAATAAATTGCCTGTACTCCATAACAGTGAGTTTAAGAAATCTGTTGGTAGATTTTTTTTCCAGTGTAGAAATATCCTTTGAAGTTTTAGCCAACTCATTGTAGAAAATATTGTATACTATTTTTAAAGCATTTGGCTTACTTCCTTAAAAGAAGGAGAAGGAAAAATACACACAAGTTGCATCATAGGATTTTTTTTTACTGCTACATTTCTACTTCCTGCTGGGAAAATGGAGTTTCACTGTGACAGAGTTAGTAGACATCACCAGAACACAGGATTAGCCAGATAGTTAAATACTTAATTATCAAAAGCTCTGCTTCCTTTTCAAATGCATTTCCAATTTGTTTCATGAGTTATCTTTCTCACACAGGCGCATCGATGATGACAAGGGAAGAACCCATGAGCTGGAGCACTCAGCTATAAAGTGTATGAGAGGAATTCTCTACTGCTATATGCGGCAGGCCGATAAGGTAAAACACTGTGGTGTGGACTGGAATTTTCACATCATTCTGAACGATTAATTTAACCAGTACAGCAATAGCACCTTCTGGAAATGTACTTTAAAAAGGTAAAGCCACATCCTAGGGCAGTCTAGATAGGTGAAAGTAGCCTCTGCCTTCCAGCCCAGGGTTTTGAAATTCTGAAATTGAAGGAATAACTTAAGCAAGAGGTGATTGAGAATTGTTATTTAAACTTGGATTTGTTTGTGTTTCACACCTGGTGTTTGCTTGATAAAGACTCAGTTTCTCAGAAACCTCACAAATATCCCTAATTGTAACCAATATTATATTACATAAAGAAAATTCTTGTCAAAATTACTTTTGGACATGTGAATTGCTCTGGCTCAGGGGAACTTTAATTTAAAAATATAATACTTCATTCATTTGCATGCAAAGAAGCTAAGCTTTACAGGGTTATATGGAAATTAAAGAAAATAATATATATAACATTTTTAAAACTATAAAGCTCTATACAAATATAATTCGCAATTCCTTCTACTTACCTACATCTCTGTGTTCCCAGGTCCTAATATAATAAGTGTCCATTTATACACATCAGTGTGTCCCTAAGACCACCACAGGTTTGATGATTCACTGGGAGGACTCATATGACTCAGCATGTAGTCCTAGTCAAAGTTTATTACGGTAAAAGGAGACAGAGCATCTTCAGCAAAGGGAAAAAATGCATGAGGAATAAGATGGAGGAAACCAAGTGCCAACTTCCAAGAGTCTTTTCCCAGTGAGATCACAGAAATGCACTTAATTTCCCCAGCAACTAATTATGATCACACTTATAAAATGTCTACCAGGGAAGCTCATTAGGAGCTCAAAGTTTTTATTGCCCTAGGTTTTTATTGGTGGCTGGTCATATAGATACCCTCTGTCTAGCACTTCCCAAAATTCCAGACTTCCAAAGGGAAACCAATTGTTTAGTATAAGCCACATTGTTTATTTAATCAGTTTAGGCATAGTGAGCCACTCTTATGAGGGAATGGTGGAAACCGCCCCCAAATCCAAGTTTCTACTTACCAGCCAAGGGCCAGCCTTACAAGCAGTTTTTTCTAAGGTGAGCCATCTCAGGCCTACTATATTAACTCTTTTGTGGACAGTCAGCATAAACTAATGCACTGGTTTCTAGTCTGTTACCAGCTGTGTGATGTTGGACAAATTATTTAATTTCCATGTGCCTCAATTTTTTCCATCTGTGAAATTTGAGTAGTCATAGAACCTCCCTCGTAGGGCTCTTGTGAGGATTGAGAAATAATACACAGAAGCAGCTAGCACAGGGGCTGGTACCAGGTGAGCATACAGTAAATATTTGTTGTTGTTACCGTTAGTATTATTCCCTCTCCTGTCTAGACCACGTGCTTCAGATATGTCTCCTACTTCCACATTTTAGCAAAGATGCACACCAGTAACTATGTGGGCAATTTCGATCACTTGATATTTTGTATTTTTTTATATGACTATAAGTTTTAATTTATGCTTGAAAAGAATTTAAAAAATATGATAGCAAATCTTCTCCTTAAGACCTGTATTTGAAGTCAGAATTTTAAAAAAATCATTTATATTCTGCCACCAGAATATAACAACAAGAAAATACTAGTTGGCAGAAAAAGTAAATTTATTTACAAACTAATAATAGAGATGTATGAAAAACCTGTAATTTATCTACTAAGATTTAACTTTGCAAATCATCATTGTAAAGGTTTTTTCAGATGCTTGAAATAAAATAGTATGTCATAGATTGACATACTGGAATTAAAATAGTATGTCATGTTATATTGATGAAATCATGATTAATTTTTTCCTAAGTGTGAGATGTTACTGTTTATTTCACATATATCATTTCATGAATGCCTAATGTCTTTATGAATTCAACTTTTCTCTCCAGGAAACATTGGGAGAACCATGAATTTCATGAGTTTGCTAAACAAGCTGACAAACTTAAATTAGAATTGTTTATCAGAAGGAAGGCAATGATGTAATATAATAACTTAAGGTTTTTCTTTGTGGCATGATTAACTAATTGTTAATGGCCTTTTCTAAGTATAATTATATTTTCTTTTAAATACAGTTTGAGTGTGACATAAGCTGTCTTAAATTCCTTAAATTACAAATGACTAGCATGTCTTTCCTTGTATAGCCATGATGGTAGACCATTAAAATAAATGTGAGTTGTAAGAATGTGTGGATCACATTGAGTATTCATGCATACCAGAAAATGCTGGATTTCGATATTCTTATGAGTGAAAGATGCTTTATAAATTTTAAAACATTTTCATTGTTATAATCTTTCTTGATCCCTATAACCTGTTAGAGTAGGAAAGGAAAATATTACTATAAGGCACATTTAAGTGGAAGGAGCTGACTCAGGGCGCTGGAACCGTGCACGCAGCCAGTGCCTCTCATCACACGGTCACGTCTTACTGTTGCTCCCCACTCTCTTCCTCTGGTCCTGGCCATTTTCTTTATGGTAGTACAGCAGTCGAGGATACAAACGTATTTTAAAATGTGGCACAGTTATCTTTTGGCCTTTCCTTAAAACTAAAGCGAAGCACATCGTAGTGTTCATTTGCTGTTTGACCTTCTTTGTCTTCTGAAATACAATCATGACGTAAAAAGTCTAAGTCTTCTCCGCTTTCGTTGATTTCTCATTATGAAAGATGCTTCCTCACATATTTTCTAAAAATACTAGCTAAAAGAAATATTTTAAATTTATCATGAATTTCAGCGAATAGAGTTGTCCTTGATGTGCAGAACAAAGCAATAAATATGATTATTGCGTTTTACTGTCTTGACACTTAATGCCTGCTTATTAACATCAAATATATTTTACCTCTAAATGTTCACATACCTATTCTTTCATTTACTTTCTTTTCTAATACTCCTTAAGGAGAAGCATTCATAGTTTTTCAAAGTTGATTCATTCTGCAATAGTAGGAGGGCAGAGATTTGCTTTGTAGTAGGGTATACATGTTACTGTGCCTAATTATCTACTGAAAAATTATTTAAAATGCTACTAAGTAGTTTCTAATTTATAAGAAATCATTAAGATTTTATAAAATTTATTCTTCCAGGATTCCCTTATGAGACGATTTTTTTCCCTCTGAGTGGATATTTTAAGGCTATAAATTAAGAACGGATGACAAAATACTCAATTATCTTTTCCCAAATGAGGTTTATTCACAGTGATGACAGTTTTTTTGGGAAAAATCTAAGTAAAGTGCTAGTGGAAAAAACATTATTCTAGATTTGTTTTAGTCTAGAAAGTTTTTCTTTAGTCATTATTTTTACTTGCCAGATGCCACATAGTGTATAAAATACTAATTAATGTCCTCATATTTTTTGGCTGCTTTCAAGAGAACTTTTTGTTTATAATCGACATACAGCATGCTCCATTAATCTTCAAAGCTTATAGAGTTTAGACTTTATTTTTTTCTGAAATTTTAAATTACTTGTCTTTTAACAGCTTTAAAACTCAAAGTATAGTTATGTAATTCCCCATTTGAGCATCTTTAATCATTTGGTAGTTGCTTTCCTCCTGACACAGTGATTGAATATAAATTCTCCTGCTGGGTTCTTGTATGTCTTGAAGACAAATGACAAAAACCACCTTGTCAACTGCAGCAGTCACTTTATTAAATTGATGAAACCTTATCCTTTTAGATCTGTATCAAGTGGGAAAATGCATTTTGTATCAACTTAGCCATAGTTTTGTATAGGAGCCCAGAAGAATGTTCAGGACTTTGCGATAATAATCATGGCAGTGTGAAAGGAGTAGAGACCACATGAATTTCTATTTGTGTAGTTTCAGGCTACTGCCAGCAGTCTCAGATATTGAGAAGGGATAACCACCTTCTCTGAGTTAACGCTGGATGCCTTGGTCACGTTGTAAATAGAGAATGTATGTCCCTTACTGTACCTCCATTCACTTGGTGCTAATGACCTACTGAAAGGTCCTGACTTTCATTTGTTGATCAGGTACTTCAGTCATAAGGAGGGCTGTATTTGTTTGTGCAGGGCCTTTGGAGATGGTAAAAGTTTATCAGCACTCTAGAAGAGAATTGTCCAGCAGAACTTTCTGTGATGATAGAAATGTTCTATATTATCATTGAGCAATACAGTAGCCACTAGTCACGTGCGCCTCTTGTATACTTGAAATATGGCCACTGTGACTGAGGAGCTAAATTTTTAATTTTATTTAATTTTAATTAATTGTAATTTAATTTAATTAGGCATATGTGGCTAGTAGGTACCATATTGGACAGAGGAGCTTCTAGAAGCTGAGAAGGTAGTGAGAGTCTAAAGGAAAACTTTTTCTACTCCCAGCACTTCTGACACCAAACATGTAGCTTTTCTACAGCAGCAGGTGTCCGATTTGAGACATCAGCTGGCTGTTCTACAATTTAGCGTAATCCTACCAGTAACAACCTGAGGTTAACACAGATCCCACAGGTTAAGGGCTGAGTCCCACAAGAGTGCCCCCCACTTCAGATGCCAGTTTTAAATAGTGGGTCCCTGGGTTACCCACACTTCTGTCTGGAAAAATTGGGGATTCCCATGATCCCTTCTTCAGGTTCAATAATTTGTTATAACAGCTCAGAACTCACAGAAGCACTTTGCTTGCCATTGCCAGTTTGTTGTAAAGGAGATCTTAAAGGATACAAATAACAGCCAGATGACATAGGGCAATGTCCAGAAGGGTCTCAAGCACAGGAGTGTCTGTCCCTGTGGAGTTTGGGATGCACCACCCTCCTGGCATGTGGATGTGTTCTTCACCTCAGAATTCTTCAAACTGCATCATTTAAGGTTTTATAGAGGTTGAATTATGTAGGCAGATTGATTAAATCATTGGCTATTGGTGATTGGCTTAATCTCCAGCCACTCTCCCTTTCTCCCCCTCCCCCGAGGTGAGAAGGTAAGTTGTGCAGGTGGGAGGGCAGAAAGTTCCAGCCCTTTAATCACTTGGTTGGTTCCTCTGGCAACTAGCCTCCCACCTTGAAGCTACCTGGGGGTCTGTGGAGAGCCACGTCATTAGCATACACTCAGGCATGGTTGAAAGGGACTTACTATAAACACAAAAGACACTCTTTTCACCCCTGTTGCTTAGGAAATTCCAAGGGTTCTAGGAGTTCAGTACCAGGAACTGGGGAGTAAGACCAAATTACATATTTCACAGTAGCACAGGGATATACAGACAGGTAATAAAAGTACAAGACAGGAGAAATAACTGAGGGATAATCACCCTGATGTGGGAGGCCAGAGAAAGGAATTTTGGTTGGGGTTCAGAAAGGACTTTAAAAAAGAAGATTTTTTTTTGAGATAGGATTTTAAAGATGAGAAGAATTTTAAAAGATGGAGAAGAGAATATGATTCCATGTGGTTTCTTAGGCATGTGAAACAAGGCAAGGTCACAACCACCGAGGTATTATCATCACTTACATCTCTTCAAAGGGGAGGAAAATCATTGCCTTTACATAGAGCTGTATATTATTCTATTCTTTTTTTTGTTCTTATTTATCTCATAAGATTAGCACAGTGCTTGGCATATAATTGGCATCAGTAATGTTTGCCAATTTGAATTGAATAGGCCCCAAAGAAACGTGTGAACTTCGTTGTCCTTAGAGTTTGTAGGATCATTTAGTGTTTACTTAGTATTCTAAAATGGTTAAATTTTATGTCTAATTAATAGATAATAGTGTGATCTGTGTTCTCTTAGAATTGGCGCCTTATTAAGTAGTCAGAGTACGGTATATATGGAAGGAGAAATGAAAACATGTTAACAGAAGCATAGGTTAAAATTTGTGACCCTGAGAGAAAGAAATGGTATTTGAAGTTTGAACATTTACTGAATTAGAATATAGCCTGAAGTACTTTTTCATTATAAGTGTCATGTAAGCATATCCAAATAATAGTACAGTGGAATACAGTCACTGAAATCCTGCCTCATAAAGTAAAACAATATTTTACTCCAAAATAAAATAAGATGCAAAACTTTGCAAAATTCATTGCTACTAAATTAACATGCTCCCTATTACACTTGAGTTGCCATGCTTGTGAAAGATCAATTGACACTCATGTTAACACTGTTAAATTAGTAGTTATGAGCTTTGTGTATTGTTTCTTAGAAAAGATGACATTTCTGCTGCTTTGGTCAGTCCTATGCTTATATGCCTTACCTTTCTTCATTAAAAAGGTTCGTGTAAAATAGCTTATAATCTGTAGTCTTGGATGAGTTTGTGAATTACTACCGCTATTTAAATTTTATATTTGATTTTAGGTCCAGCAGTTTAAGCAGGATCCGCGCCCAACAACATGTCTTCACTCTGTTTTCAATGTACATACAGGAGATGAGATGCTCTCCTATGAGGAATATGGTCATCTTCAGGTAAAAAGAGAATACAAATTTCTTCTCTTTATACTGTGTATTGTGGAAGTATTGCGACTGTTTAAAAAATGTTTTTAAAGTAGATTTCATAAATTGTTCAAAATAGAAATATAGAATCAACCCTGAAATGGAGAAGAAAGTGAAATATTCATCACCAGGGCTGAATTACTGTGATTGAACATTAAATCTGACTGAATTGTCGGTCCTCAAGCAAAAAGGGCAACTGAATGGATTATAATATTGTTTCTGCCTAAAATAAGGACGCCTCCAGTTCTTTCAGTGACAAAAGCTTTTGCTTGTTATCAAGTTCAGAAGAATTTCAACACTGAGGAACTAGAGGGAAAAAAGACCATTGACAATGGTGTGGTGGCAAATCAGTTTCTGTTATGTGGCAGTTCGTCTTCCAGTGTGTCCGCCTTCAATAAAGCTAAAACATGCTGTCGAAGCTAATTCCAAAGGCATTTCTGAAGTCCATGAATTTTGTCTTACATAATATATTAAATGTTATACCTATGCTAAGAATACACAGGATTTTGTTTTGTTTTCATTGTTTTTCTCTCACATCTATATACTGTCTTTCGCTGGACATCCTGTTGCCTTGTTTCTAGGATGCAGATACCATATATGCTGTTATCCTTAATGGATTTTCCTTCTGCTCATCATTTGGCTCTCTTTGGGCTAGCATACTTATTATTCATATATTTCTTACTAAAATAAGAGTATCTCCTCTTTATAGTCCCTCTCTCTCTAGAGATCTGAAACATCTTGCTTGAGTGTATCTCCTCCAAACATGGAAGTGTAGTATCTCCATTTCTATGAAGCAGAAACTCATGTGCTTATTTGTAAATAGTTCCTTGGAGAGTTAGCATTATGTGAGTATGTAGTTTCTCAACATTAACCTCGTAACTATAACATAATAGGATTTTGTGTGCCTTTTGCTTTGAGAAATATGTTTGCCATCAGAAATAGGGTTTTCAGAAGGTAACAGCTCCTTTTTTCTTGTATCCCAGAATTTAAGCTCAATGCCTGGCACATAGTAGGCATTAAATAAATGTTAGTCAATGTGTTATTTGGCAATCCCTTTACAACTTGCCGCTTACATTTTCTCACAGAAGCATCCCAAAAGTCAGAGCGGAGGGTTCTTAGACATGTTCCTGTAAGTGACTGTCCATAGGAATGAAATTTCTTTGAAGTCATTTTTAACAGACCAATGTCAGTGCTATAAGAAAATACTAATATTTGGATGAGTCTGTTAGTGGAGTGAAACTCTTTTCTACCATGTTTTAAGGAAGGCTAAACAAAAGTTTATGTCAATCTATAAAACCTAAAGCCAGAATACTGTATCTTTCTGTGTGGCACACTTGGACCTTGACAAGACCCTGACACCCGCTGGGCCCTAGTGCTAGGAAGTCAGGAGACATCCATGGTAGGCCTGGTTCCTGAGAGGGCCACCAGCAGTGCCAGGCCCTGGTGGCACACGGGCTTCTTTGTCTGAGGCTTCCAGTGCACCAATGACCTCTGCCCCACTGTCCATCGCCAGTCAGTGGGGAGGGTCAAGGGAGACACAAGCCACCAAGGCTGTTAGAGGGTAATAATCTTCTATATTAGAATTGTATGGGAACAAAATTACTTCTTGCTTTCTCTTCCTTCTTAACTCAATATTTGCAGTTTCCTGGCTAGGTTAGAATTTTTCACTGCTTTTTTCCTACTTATTTAATAATAGTTTTATTGAGATATAAGCCACATAACGTGTAATTCACCTATTTAAAGTATACAATTCAATGTTTTTTTAGTATATTTACAGAGTTATGCAACCATTATCACACTAAATTCTAGAATATTTTCATCACCCCAAAAAGAAACCTTATACCCGTTAGCAGTCATACTTCATTTTCCCCAAAGCTTTCCAGCCCTAGGCGACCACCAGTCTACTTTCTGTCTCTGTGGGTTTGCCTATTCTTGACACTTCATATAAATGGAGTCATACACTATAAGATTTTTTTGTGACTGGCTTCTTTCATTTAGCATGTTTTCAAGGTGTATTAATCAGTGTTCTCTAGGGAGACGTCACCAATAGGATGGATGAATGGCTAGAGACAGAGATAGAAATGGGAAGATATTTATTGTTAGGGAAATTGTCTCATATGATTATGAAGGCTAAGAAGTCCCACGATAGGCCATCTGCAAGCTGGAGAACCAAGGATGCCGGTACTGTGGCTCAGTCCAAGTCCAAAAGCGTTAGAACCAGAGAACCATGTTACTCAGTGGGAGGGTGAAGGCCCGTGACTGAGAGCCCAGGGAGCCACTGGTGGAAGTCCTGGAGTCCCAAAGCTAGAGAACTGGCAGTTCTGATGTTCAAGGGCAGGACAAGAAGAGCATAACAGACTCTGGAAGAGAGAGCAAGAATTTACCCTTCCTTCGTTTTTTTGTTCGTTCTGGGTCTCCAGCTGATTGGGTGCCTGCCCACCATCCAAGTATAGATCTTTCCCACTCAGTCCATCTATTCACATGCCAATTTCCTCTAGAAACATCCTCACAGGTAGGTGCACCCAGAAATAATGCTTTACCAGCTATGTAGGTATCCCTTTATCCAGTCAAGTTGACACCTAAAATTAGCTATCCCGTAACGGTTGTCCATGTTGTGGTGTGTATGTTTCTTGTTTCTTTACCTGAGACAATTTACACATCGCATTCAGGATTCTTTGAGAATCTTTTCTTGTTAATGTGGATATTATTGTCTTTTGTTTTATCTTGTTTAGATGATAAAATGTCTATTTTTAATAATAAACTAAAAGAACACCTCATTTCTTCATAAAACTAATTTGTTCATAAATATATTTTAAATTATATGCTATAGCATTGATTAAAATTAGTATGTTCTTACAGTTGTTTACGTAAATTCTGTGTTCTCTGAAAATAATAATGTTTTCAAGATGTACTGCCTGTTGTTTATGGTGTACTGGCATAGTCTTAATGTCTTGCTTGCCAAATAACTTTTTCATTTACATACATTTGAGGTGGATTGACATTACATTGCTGCCTGTGGGCAAAACTATTCCAAAGTAGAAGTTCTTTAGACTCAGAGCTTGAAAATAAACCTTAGAAAGCAAATGATATAGAAACAATTGCTAACAGTTCTACTTGCAGCCATTTCCCTAATCAAGTGTTACCCATCACAATGAATTTGAGCGTTTTAGAATTTTACATATAAAGCTGGGATTTTATTATGAACTAAATCCACAACTCCTTTGTTTCACAACAGGAAAGGAAATGGTTTTTACATGACACTATTAGAGCAAATGACTTGTAATTTTAGCCTTTACATTTAATTTCATAACATAATCTTTTTGTTGTTTCCTTTAACTTTT